GAAAATAATAAAGAAAAATAAGTTGATAAACAAAATAACAAAAAATTAAAATAATTTACAAAGATGAAAACAAAAACAAAACGAAAAATTTAATGTAAAATTTTATTGAAGAATATATTTTACATTTTATACTCATATATGTAAGTGTATGTATGTAGGAGACAACACAAGTGCGTGGGGAAAAATATTTTTATAAGTTAAAATGTATAAAATAATCTTATTATTAACATTCAGTATTAGACATAACAGGTCTAATGTTATTGTGTATCCATAATTTTGTATTAACAGTTTATCTGAGCAGACTATAAGATATCTAAGTTTATTTAGAACACAATCAGAGATATATATTTGCATAGAGATATGTCTCTGGTATAGTACTGAAATAAATGTTATGTGAATGAGTCACCAAGATCTTATACGTAAGTGAGTATCGACAGTTTTATTGATAGCACCTCAAAAGGTAATCTAATCTCATTTTAATTGACTTAAAAATAAATTTAATAAATGTTTATTTTAATTTCATGCCTTTCAAATGCAAATGAATGAATAATGTTAACCCTTTTAGAGCAAAACAATTACTGAAAAATTAAATTGTTGAAAAATTAACTACTAATTCAACTAATAAAATAAATGCTCAATAAACCTACATCGCGAAGACAAGTCTTTTAAAATATACGAATTATTAAGGTATACACTAATAACATAAAAATCCAACCTATATGCAAAGATATATCTTTGAAAAAATGCAAAATACTGTAACTACACTTGTAACTTAAAAGCCTTGAAATAGAAAAATTTATAATAAACCTTTAACCCTTTACAAGACATATCTTTATCCTTTCCTAAAAGCAAACAAATATGTTCCCTTATAGTTTAAGAAAAACTTCTTAGGCAAATGCTTTTTCAAATCCCCTAACATTTAAAGACTAAGCATTGTCCCCACGCCTCTGTTATCTAAAAAAACATACAAACAAAGAAATTATCAGTTAAACAGAAATACTTTACAATTGAATCAACCATGAGAGACCCGGAGTTCAGTACGCAAAATGTTGTCGAAGCAAGTAAAACGTAGTCTGCGTTTCAGTAATATCGGATCTCCATGGATTGTAACACAAATTGGATGTAAAAATTATGGAACTCAAGCTGAATTGAATGTAAAATTTTAAATTCATTTACAAAGAAAAATATGAAAATATTGTATGAAAAATTAATAGGAAAGCAAGCCCACAGAATTCAATTTAAAAAATGCACGACCAAGTGAAGAAGTACCGGGTCCCAGCAAACTGGAGTTTGTACGTGGATTTTTACCAGGAGGTAAGAGTTAAAACTATATTAATAAATTTCATTAATTTAGATATACGACCAATATAACGATGTCATCATAAAATTTATATAGTTGATATTGTTGCATATAATTGATTTTCTTCTTACCATCCATCTCTGGAAAGCATTCTCTTATCCGCCACATGAAGACGCACTTCACTGCTTACCATAGATAGCTTAGCCTAAAGAACAATTAACCTTACTTTATTTTAAATTAATTCACTTCTATCATTTTTCTTCCATCTATAGGTCTCTTCTACAAAAAAGGCTTAAACGACATGATTTTAATTCTGTCCAAAAAATATGGTAATTTATATCGAATACCAGGATTGTTTGGAAATAATACTACCTACGCAACACTTAATCCCAAAGACTACCCTGTATTGTTTCGTAATGAAGGCAAGTGGCCTATACGTAGAGGTTTCAGTTGTATAGAACATCATCGAAAAGTGCATAGACCAGAATTCTTTGAGGACGTAGAAGGATTAACAACATCGTTAGTAGACTGCTTTAATTATATATAATATTTTTATAATATACATAAAATGTTTTAAATATTTTATTATATTTTAAGTTCTGGTGAACAATGGGCTAAAGTACGTACTGTAGTGAATCCAATACTCATGCAACCAAAGAATGCCAAACTCTACTTTAACACGTTGCTCGATGTTAACTATGAATTTTTGGAGAGGTTGGTGTTAAAAAAAAATATTTAAAATTTATTTTTAATAAATAAATTATTTTTTATTTATTTATTTAAAAAAACAAACAAACTTGAAGAATACGTACTATACGCGATCCTAGCACACAAGAAATGCCTGATGACTTTGAGGATGATATCAATCGGTTGACACTAGAATCAGTCGCTGCTGTGGCTATGAACACACAATTGGGTCTCATTCATAAGAATCGTCATACTGCAGAATCGAAAACTATTATAGAGACAATACGAAGCGTGTTTGAGTTGGCCTATGATTTGGAAATACAACCACCAATCTGGCGATATATCAAAACACCGCAATATAAAAAAATGATGAAGTCACTGGATACAATGCTGGACATCTGTAATAAATATATCAGTGAAGCACTAAGAAGGATTGAACACGACGAAAGTGGAAAACTGACAACAGAAGCAGGTAAGGAGAAGAGTGTTCTGGAGAAATTAGCAAAGAAAGACAAAAAAATTGCTGTAGTCATGGCGTTAGATATGATGTTAGCTGGTGTGGATACAGTAAGTATAAAAGAAATACATTTATTTTTTTAAATCTGATTTAAATTATTTATATTTGAAGACAAGCACCACAATAGCAAGTATATTAATTTGCATTGCTAAGAATCCAGAAAAACAAGCTAAGCTATTGGCAGAGATAAAGCAGATATTACCGGAGAAGAGTTCTAAACTGACAATCGAGAAAATGAATCATCTGCCTTATTTACGCGCCTGCATTAAGGAAGCTATGCGTCTATATCCTATAGGACCAGGTACGCTGCGCGAAACTCCTTACGAGATCGTATTAAGTGGTTATCGCATACCAGCCGGTGTAGATGTGGTCACAGTCGGAAATTTACAAATGTGTGATGAAGAATATGTGCCACATGCTAAAGAATTCATACCGGAACGTTGGTTGCGAGATGAGCAGGCTGCTAAGTATGCTGGAGATACAGCTAATTCGTTTATGTATTTACCCTTTGGTTATGGGCCTCGCAGTTGTGTAGGAAAGCGCATAGTCGACATGGAACTTGAAATCTCAATTGCACATTTGGTGCGGAATTTCAATATTGAATTCAATTATCCTATAGAAAATGCCTTCAGGCAGAAATTCATTATGGTTCCTAATATACCATTGAAATTTAAATTTGAAGAAAGAAACAATTAATGAATAGATTATTATGTGATGTAATGTTAACAATGCTGTTAATGCTAATGTTATATATTCCATTTATTATATTATTTTTCAATTAATTAAAATATCAAAACATTAATAAAAAATATTTTATAATGTTATAAAAATATAATATTATTATATTCACCTATTATAATAGATAAGACATAAAATTAAGAAATTAAGAAATAAAGTTACGTTACCAACTGCTGTATTTCAAATATATATAAATCGAACTAAAATAAATAAATTAATAGTCGTTTTAGTGAAATATAGATATCTTCTATATGCATTTTTAATGGATAATTTTTAATGGATAATATCTAAAGGTATTATCTTTACCTACTATGCTTTCATGCATCCGTTCTTGAACTTATTTAGGCAATTCTTTATCTAACTTCACGCTAAAGTAAAAACTCACCAATGTTGCAGTTCTGAAAGCTTTTTGAATGAAAAGACTCATAAAAAAATTTTATCATTATCATTACTAAACTTCCCGATTCCAATCTTTACCTTTTGTACACAAAACCCTATTCACCACAATCTCTATTTTGTATTCTCCAGTATTGTTTTCCAAGCACAATTGCTTTCAGACTATTTTATTCTCTTCACGTTAGATTGATCATTTGCTTTGATATTTTGTGAACTGTACCATCAAGTTTATTTGGTCAAAGTGAGGGTTCCCTTTTTGTGGCTATCAAGATTTTATACATTCTTGTGTAATCTTAATATCTCTCAGTTCTATTATTGCTACCAGACAGTATTCTATTGTCTTACATACCTTTTACTTCCCCTTTTTCTACTTATTTTTTTCCATAATCCAATAACTTCAATCTCAGGTTATTGAAAGCTATATGACTGATGTAATTCCACATATTATGTAGGACGGTAAGTTTGATGTCGTTAGCTCTTTACGTAATAACTACTTCTGTCAATAACTGCGCGTGTAAACTATACGACTGATGTCGTTCTACATATCCTGTGCTATCCTTAATTCAACATTAAACATTCTTCTTCACGTTTATGACGTTATTCCTTGACTGCAAATTGCTTATACTACCACCAGACTCTATTCCTTTGTATTACATTTCTACTTCTCCTTCATTTTTATTCCAATAATTCCGCATGTAGTATAGATCCTCTACTACTGTGTCAATATCTATTCTATTCTATGCTATATGACTGATGTAAGTTCAACATTAATCATTTTTCTTCCAGTATTTCTACACAACGTATGCCCTGATGGTTTAATTTGAAGATATGTTTGATAAGATATAGGCATGGTTTTCGCAGTCTGTGCTCAAACCATTGCAATTTGTGTTTCTAAAAACCTCTACTTTTTATTCGATTACTCTCTTCTATAATTCGTTATGGCCATATAGCTTGGACTCCAATATAATAGGTGCACAATATTGAAAAATGGATAAAGCAAGACCTTTTCTATTTCAATACCAGGTCACTAACTCACTAAACCACCTCTTAGGAATGAATGGAGAAGATTTCCACAACATTGTGAAAACTTCATTCCAGTAGATCTTGGCACTGTTAGACTTTGCTGTTAAAATATATGGAATCCAAAAACAGTCAAGAAGAATAATACTGTTAATAGCAGCACAATAACAGCGGAGTTGCATTTTGCGAGTGTGGTCTTTGGTACGATTCAATGAGGAAATAATTTTAATACAATTCACATACGTGAGAGACCAAGAGAACTTTTATTGATGTTATAAAAAGTTCAACTGTAAAACCTGTTAACATTGCAAATTCTATCAGTTCAGTTTGCAAAATGCTCTCGAACGGTTTAAGGTGCTTTCGGTATACGAAATGTTTTCGTGAAGCCGTAGGTCAAAAATATTGCACGGCCTCTGAACTGCAGGTTAAAATACATAAATTATGCATTAAATATTTTAAATAAACAGTCATCAATATAATTAAAATGTATAAATAATAATTTATATTTATTTTAAAAGTTTTTATAATAATAATAAAATATAATTACTCTCTAACAGAATAAGAGAGAAACTACAGCTGCCGCAGAATTTGATTTTAACAGTGCACGCCCATCTGAAGAAATACCAGGCCCAAGTACATTTGAGCTCGTACGTAATATTCTTCCCGGTGGTATGCAAATAAATAAATAAACAATAAAAATCCAATAAAAATAGTATTTTGAAACTTGCTTTTGTCAATATTTCAGGAGTTTTACATAATAAGCCGATAACTGACATGTTGATTGTGTATGGTAAGAAATATGGACAATTATTTCGCATGCCAGGCTTATTTGGTAACAGAGATTTCTACGTGACGTCTAATCCAGATGACTATTCAGTTGTATTCCGGAATGAGGGTCAATGGCCAGTACGTCGCTGTTTTGATACATTTGTCTATCATCGAAAAGTGCACAGAGCCAAGTACTTTCAAGGCGTTGACGGTTTACTGGCAAGGTGTGTAAATTTCCAATTATTGAATTGTGATCTATTTTAAGGTTTTAAAATATTTTTCAGTTCTGGAGAGAAATGGTATAATGTACGTAAGGTGGCGAATCCAGTGCTTATGCAGCCAAGAAATGTGCGGCCCTATTTGACGACTATGCTTGATGTAAATGATGAATTTCTAGAAAGGTAAAATAGTTAAAAAAATCTAAAAAAAATCTATTATAATTATTTTATATTTTACTTAATATTATTTATTTGTTTGATATTATAGAATTCGCAAAATACGTAACCCAAAAACACTTGAAATGCCCGACAGTTTCGAGGAAGAAATAAATCGCTTGGCACTGGAATCAGTAGCTGCAGTGGCACTCAATACTCGATTGGGACTTATAAATCGAGATGGATTAGAGGGAGATTCCAAAGCAATTATAAGTAACTTACGTAGCGTTTTCGATATGGTAGTTCTGTTAGAGGGTGTTCCATTCTGGAAGATTCTTAAGACACCTGGCTTTTATAAAATGATGAAGGTTTTAGATGCAATACTTGATGATTGCAATAAATATATAGAATTAGCGCTAGAAAAAATAGAAAAGGACAAAACTAATCGATCAGCAACAGAATTGAATAGACAGAAAAGTGTGTTGGAAAAGTTAGCACAAGAAGATAAAAAAATTGCTGTAACAATGGCACTGGATATGTTATTTGCAGGTGTAGATACTGTAAGTTCTTATTCTTATATATTCGTAATATTAAAATTTGGAAAACAAAATATTTTTACTCTACAGACAAGTTCAGCTTTAGCTGGCATACTGGCAGTTCTTGCAAAAAATCCACAAAAACAGGAGAAACTCTATGAAGAAATGAAGACGATATTACCAGAAAAGCATTCCCGTTTAACAATAGATAATATGAGTAACTTACCTTACTTACGTGCTTGCATCAAAGAGGGCCTACGTCTACATCCGATTTTACCAGGTACAATGCGTCAATTGCCACATGACGTTGTACTTAGTGGGTACCGTGTACCGGCTGGTAATGATATTACGACTGCTGGAAATGCACAAATGCGTGATGAGGATTATGTACCACGTGCTAAGGAATACATACCGGAACGTTGGCTACGTAATGATCTCAACAATAAGTACGCTGGTGATATAGTTAGGCCTTTTATGTATTTGCCTTTTGGTTTTGGTCCTCGTAGTTGTGCTGGACGTCGTGTGGTTGAGTTAGAAATGGAGATCACAATTGCACGTCTGGTGCGGAATTTTATTATTGAATTTAATCATCCAATAGAAAATTTGTTTAAGCAGAAAATGATTGTAGTCCCAAATAAGCCATTGAATTTCAAATTTGAGGAAAGAAAAGAATAAATCAGATTGGAAGAGGTTGAGCTGATCTAATGTCAAACAAAAATAAAAATAAAAATAACACAAAATTTAAATCAAACTAAGATGTAGTTTAATTAAAAATAAAAGACAATGCGAACAAAAGCGTTGATTCGAAAACTTTCTATCATGAGTAAATCTATTAAAAATATTAAAAGCTACGCTCAACTTAAAAATATTCAATTAAAAAAAGTAAAAAGTACACACAAACACTTACATATGTATAATTATTTACTTATACATATACGTAGTTGGTCAAAACTATGTTGTTGTTGTAGCACGGAAGGATCTATAAGACAGATAACATTAAAGGGATTTCAAAGACGTATATATGGGTTTGGATGTGGATTGGTAATGGTGTTGTGAGAGGGAAAGCGATTATTTAGGAATACGAATAGATTTTGGTATGAGTGGAATTTAAATTGAAATCAACCGCGATTAAGCGGAAAAATTAGAGCAGGCATTAGAGCAGGCAAACAGATGGACGATATAATGGCGTATAGGTGGGGATTGTCCCATTTATACGTAACGACTTCAAAATCAGCCGTGTCTACGTCCCGACGCCACTCAACAAATTCTACTCCTAAAAGTGACTACACCTCAAAGGTTATAAAAGTTTACGACTAAATAAGTGTCTTTATGTTTAAGTTAAATGGCTTAACTGTCTTGAACTATAGTATCAAGCGTAGTCTAACATCAACTAAAGTAACAGCAATTTCTTAGCTATAGAAGTTAACCAAAATGATATCCAGTCTTAACATTTAACCATGATACCATATTTATTCATAAAAAATTTAATATTAATAAAAATAGTTTATTTAAAAATATTGACACTGATGAAATTTTATTATAAATATGTTTAACGTTCGTGAAAAAACAGCATCCATATTATTCAATCTCTTTTTATATTACTTATAAAAAAACACATATATAACACATATATAATAAAATATGTGAAAAACATTTATAAAACCAATAATAATAATTTATTTTTTATTTATTATTTATTTATTATATAATTATTTATTTATTATTTATTTATAATGTATTTATTATTTATTTATTATGTATTTGTTGTGTATTTATTTATTTATTTATTATTTATTTGTTTATTATTTATTTATTATAAGTAATGAAATTGAGGCATAACAGTTCACTGTTATGTTCAAATGTTATTTAACAGAATAACTTTACATATAAAAGCGGCCTTGACGAATGTTACTTTTCTGCAAGCTTTAACATAGCATTCATGTGTGAGAATTTTATGTTAACGAAGAGAGATCAAAACAAAATGCATAAATAACATGAAACAAAAACAATAAAAAATTAAATTAAATATTTTTTTATGGTTTCTCTGCATTTCTCTGAAACACTAATATTCACTTTTTATCTTATTATTTTACTTATAATGTTTTACGATATTTATATATTACAGTATTTGTCTTTTGAATAAAAACTGAAATTAATTTTTGAAGCTTTTCATATAAATATTATGCGTGAATATATATTAACAGTTGCCACTTAAAAATAATTGATTGAGCTCTGTTATTAAATAAAATACCCGCAAATAATTTAATAAAATTAGCATACGCCTGTATGAGAGCAAGAAAGCTTTTATTGATGTCATATAAATTATTAGCATTTTTGTTTTGAACTTCCAACAACAACGAACAGCAGTAAATATATTAATAATAATTTAGTTAATGTATTAATTAATTAATATATTAGTAATACATTATTTTTACTTTCCCTTTGCCGATTTTTTTAGTTTGCAAAATGTTCTCAAACCAATTGAGACTTCTTCAGTATGCAAAAGGCCAGCACAAAATCATAGCAGAAAAGTACTGAAAAAAAACGCTTATATTCATATCGAAAAAAATTCAATTAGAATTGTAAACAATATTAAATTAGTATTTTATTTTCATTTAAAATTTATTATAAAACAATAACAACATTTGGTATGGACCACAGCCGAAGAAAGCAACTGCAACAACGGCTAAAAAAAAAAAACTTTTTGAGGAAATAAAAAATATGTTACCAGAGAAACATTTCCGACTCTTACTTTAGATAATACCTATAAGTAATTCACCTTACTTACGTGCTTGCATTAAGAAGGGTTTACGTCTACATCCGATTATACCAGAAACATTGTGTCAACTACCACATGACATTCTACTTATCAGATATCGTGTACCAGCTGGTAATGATATTACCAAATAATTCTTTGAATTTCAAGTTTGAAGAGAGAAAGGTCTAACTGAGATTTATTCAAGTATTATAGAAATACATATAATGGAAGTATAAGTAAAATGGAGAGCTATTTTCTTTATAAAATTTATTTAAAATTCATATAAAATTCATTTTTTAGATGTATATTATGGGATATTTTATATATAATAGAACGGGTACTTGTTTTTACGGTATTATATTTCGTATATTCTGTTATTTATACGAAAACAAAGAGTTAGGTTCTGGTTCTTTTATTTAAATACTAATCAAGTGTTGTTTTCTGTATGTATATTTACATTAATTTTATTATATATTTATTAAGAATAAATGAATAATTTATGAATACATATATATGAACTTTAATTCAGGATGCATATTCATTTTTCTCAAGAAGTCATTAACTATTCTGCTTTAAATTTGTTGCATTGCCATGTCAAATCTATTCTCTAGGGCTTTAACATTCTTGAAGACCTTTTACTTATTTTTTAGTACTAGCACTTCTCTAATATTATAATATCACTATACTCCCAATGTAGATTTTATTACTAAAAATAAAAATAAATTAATAATCTGATCAGCTGGTGTTACGTATATATTTGGTTCCCAACAAAAACAATAAAGCAATTAGTGACTTTATAAATAGAATACCGAACTCTGTGAAAAATTTCCCTTATCTCTATTAGTCGGGAAATGGTAATATATTGAAGTGCATCGTCAGCATATCAGTTTAATAACAGCGTTACACCGGACCAGTCGTGTCAGTGAGCATGGAAGAAAAATTAATAATTTAATAAAATATTTTGTATATATATAAAATTGTTTATAGTAAAAAAAATAAATTAAAAACTTAAAATGTTTATATCAAAAATTGCGAATGTAAACAAGCAATTACAAATCATCAACATAAAGCGTTTCTTATCGCAGTCACAATTGAGAGAGGTTCGTAATTAAATTAATTAAGATATTTATTATTATTTATTTAATCATTTTTTCATTTTTTCTTACATCAAGGCAATGATCAAAGAAACAACTTCGACCGAATGGTTGAAAGCTAAACCGTACCATACAATACCAGGTCCATCAAAATTGAAACTTCTTAAAGAATTTTTACCAGGAGGTATAAATATACTCACTCTGTCCATTACTTAATTTAATTATATATTTCATTATTTACATTTAATTAAAATTATTAATGACTTAAGTGATTTCGCACAGCGATCTAGAAACCTATTGAGCAGTCTTTATTTGCACATAAAATTTCCTTGAGTTCAATTTCTTCAATAAATTATAGTATTAGACGTGCTTGCTAGATTTTATTTTCTCATTTCACCTATGTATTAATTGTGTTAAATATAACATTTTTTTTTTTAACAAACTTCGCAGACATAAATAGACCTCATGGTCTCAATATGTAATGTTCTATAAACATCTTCACTGAAAACATATTCTGGAGGCACAAATATATATATATCAATTATATAAGAACTTCGTTCGGGTCTAAGTCTTAGCATAGGGATTAATAACCATTAAAGGATTATTATTTCCTTTGAAAGTTTAAATAATGTTACTTTATGTTAAAATTATATATTATAATTGAGAAAAACTTTAATTTCCCATTCATTCATTCTTCAATTAATTCTTCATTTATTTTTATTGTTATTTTTTTTTTTTTGGTAGGTAATTTATTTAATAAACCCATCAATGATATCACTACACAATTACGAAAAGTTTATGGCGATATTTTTATATTTCCGGGTACCTTTGGTAAGAACGATGTTCTATACACATTCAACCCTAAGGATTTTCGTACAGTATTCCATACAGAAGGACATTATCCAATACGGCGCGGTTTTGATATAATACATTATCATCGGAAAATACATAGACCAGAAGTTTTCAAGCATGCAGTTGGTTTAGTCGCAGAGTAAGTGAGTTAATTGTTACAGAATTCAGAGTGTACTCTTCAAGACACCACAGTGGTTATTATAATATTGGAAATGAATTTCTAAAGAGATTTTTCACTCTATCACCATTCACAAATTCAAATCATGGGGAAGCGATAATCGCAGATTTATTTTATACTTTCTTTTGTAGGACTATCTTGGAAAAGGTACTGTAGAATATGTTCTGGCTGTACCAACTACTATCTGTGGCTTCCTTTCCTGAGTCTTTGTTGAAATTGTTTACGAAAAATATTCTGATATCCTGCCTCATAAAATCATATAAATAGTTTTTTGATTCTGTATATACGAATAGGTATTCCATATTATATCACGGTTATTTAATACATCTATTCTTCTAAAATGTTTCTAATGAAATGTAGAAGATATAAAACAACCTACCTTCTCGTTTTAAGTTAGTCATTACGCTTAAAATGAAATGTTATGCTAACTAAAGAGTAAATAAATTAGTAAGTAAGCAATTCGGGAAGTAAATAGGTAAAAATAAATTGAGGAATACTATACTTAAGTGACTTAAGTGGCCTACGGTGCTAACCACAGTTGTCTTGACCGATCATTAAGATTTTTAAAATCGTAACCATCTTTGATAGTTATTTATTAGTCCGTATGTTATAGAGAGCAACAAGACTTTTCCCCAAATGGATCAGTCTACCGATGCTCAGTGTAGAGTATTTACATACACTCTGTTTAGATGTTTCAACAATTCTACAAAAGTGGCAAATACTGATCTCTGACAGGCACACATTGTTGATATAGTAACTCAACCATCAGTATCCCACCAAATACTAGTGAGAGTTTTGATATTCTCTCTGCTCAATATAGCGGTATATTTGAAATAGACTTAGATTAATTTCTTAGTCAGTTTTAGGACTTTACAGTTCATTCAATTGTGAGCAGCTAGCTTAAGATAGGTTAACACGACTGTCGGTTATCATCAATGCATAGATTTCATCCACTGGCCCTTTCTGTTACCGTTTCCAGTAGGTTTCTGTCCCTCTTTCTTTCTTGACAACCAATCGGATTGATATATAAAAATCTAAGCTTTAAAAGAAATTAGTTGACAGCAAAAAAAATACTGATTATTATAATTTTTTTACTTCTAGACAAGGTAAAGACTGGGCACATTTTCGTTCCGCAGTAAATCCGGTAATGATGAATCCTAAAACTACAAAACTGTATGCGTCTAAAATGAGTAAGGTTTCAGATGAATTTGTTAGACGAATTCGAAATATACGTGACTTATCAACTAATGAAGTGCCAACAAATTTCGAAATTGAAATAAATAATTGGGCAATGGAATCAGTATGTTTGGTAGCCTTAGATAAAGAATTGGGCATGATTAATAATAGTGAAGCCAATCCTAAGGCTAGAGAACTAATTAATAGAATGCAAAAATTTTTTGAGCTTTTATTTGAGTTGGATATAAAACCTTCTTTGTGGAAATATGTCCACACACCGAAATTTCGACAAGCGATGAAAATCATGGACGAAATGATTGACTTGACTACTTACTACATTGAAGAAGCTATAATAGAATTACAAGAACAACAGAAAACTATTAGTAATAAAGGGAATGTGAAATCTGAACATGAAAAAAGTATCTTAGAACGATTAATAAATATAGATCGCACAGTAGCTATTGTAATGGCTTTGGATATGTTACAAGCAGGTGTAGACACAGTAAGTTCTAATCATAATTATTCTACATCTACTAAAATTTTATTTTTATAGACGACATCCGCCTTAGCTGGCTGTTTGTTATGTTTATCTAAAAATGCTGAAAAGCAAGGTAAACTACGTTTGGAAATGAAGCAGATATTACCAGAGAGGCATAGCACCATAACAGGCGAAAAGCTTAAACATTTGCCTTATTTACGTGCCTGCATAAAGGAAGCTTTACGTTTGTATCCTGTTGCCACTAGCAATTTTCGATCGACTGGACAGAACGTCATCTTGAGTGGATATCAAGTGCCTCAGGATACTGATATAGTTATGCCCGGTCAGTTAATAACCCAAGATGAGAAATATTATGACAGACCGAAAGACTACTTACCAGAACGTTGGCTACGTAGTGAAAGAGGCAAAACCGATGGATCTGGTTGTCCGTTAAATGTGAATGAACCTTTTGTATTTTTACCCTTCGGCTTTGGACCACGTGTTTGTATTGGAAAACGTATTGTAGATTTGGAATTAGAAGTAATTTTAGCAAAATTGGTACGTAACTTTTATATAAGCTTTGACTATGATGTGGAGAATGTATTCAAAACCCACGTAATTAATGTCCCGAACAAACCACTACAATTTAAATTTGTAGATACAGAAAATTAATTGTATTCTTAATAATGGATATATATTGCTAATAATAATTTTTTGAATAAATAAATAAATATTTTCATACATTAAATTTTTTCCAAAGATGGGATATTTTCGTCAATATTCGTTAGGAAGTTCGGCACACCATTCCGAAACCTATTCCATATATATTTAAAAAAATACATATATAAATATATACTTCCACTTAACGCATTGAACGTTATTTCATAGCATTGTCAATATTATTTAAAAGTTTCTCTTTCAAAGTTTAGTTCCTCTTCAATCTCCTCTATATATTTAAGTTCCTTAAATTTCTGCCTGTAATTCTAGAAATCGATTTTTGTTCACGCATTAAAATTGACCTCGACTTTGAAATGTCAAAATAAATAAACAATACTGACCTCGACCAACAAAAAGGAGAAGTAAGTATAAGCCTGAAAAGGAAAAATAGAATAAATAAATAAATATGCCATAAAAATACAATATCAGCATGACACAACAATTTCCGGGAAGTTGCAGAAACCAAACCTGTTAGAATAAAAAATTACAACGGCCTAAACAAATTCAATTTGACAGCTGACATGAACAGAGTAACGACAACTACAACAACCACAACCATTACAACAAAAAATATGACAACAATACCGAAAAAAAATTTGTGTGTAATAAACTTTTACGACTTTTTTACGACGCTCCGACACGTGTTAAATACATTGAAATTATTTTAAAAACATTAGTACGTAAACGTACTAACCTAGGTGATATCCTGTCTGCTGGATGACATTGCTAAAAATACGATTTTTCAATGCAACACAAACTTAATGAAGCTCAGAGCTCAAGGACTAAAAAAGGAGTTTCTGTTGTCTCACTCTTTCACGTTCGAATCTGTACTGAAGCTGTCAAATGCAGGCAGGCAGTCAGCTCATATGCGATTATAATAAAAGGCGATGAGACGTACACAATTGCCGGCAAACATAAAATAATAATAAAAATATTGTAGTTAAAGGACGAAAATATTTTATTTTTCCATTCGACGTTTTTGTTACCAAATCCAGTCACCAAATAATACGTAAGTTGTCAAGGTTGTGATGAATTAGTCTGAGGTATACAATAAAGTTGAAGGACGGATATTCAGAATTAAATAAATTGTTTAGAGAACATTGATGATTTGAGACAGTTTAAATATTTATGAGTCATTTGCTTTTCAATAGCAAATATGAAGGAGTAGGTTAAGTAATGTTAGGTTGGTGGTCTGGTTTTGTACACCTAAGCCTACTGGAGCTCAAAATACGGTCCGTGGGGCACCACGAATATTTGAAGAATCGTTTTTGTTAAAAGTATATATAAAAAGATATCCATGCTTAATAGAATATTTTAAAGATATCCATGTTCCCGGAGTTTGCTCAATACAATTGAGAAATGAGTTTCTTCGAAACAGTAGATTAAACTGTCCGCGAAACTCAAACTTTAAACAAGGTATTCTTCCATACGTATGAGTCCTTTAAAATACTAGATAAAAATTCAAAAATTAATATTTTAAAATAAAAAAAAAGGTACGAAAATCTTTTTTCTCTTTTTTGATTTTTTTCAGGATTTAGTTTAGGTATGCTAAGCTTTGCAATTCGCTATTCTTCCAGACATCAAAGGCTATAGCAATAATGTTAAAGTTAAAGTTCAACAATTTAAATTTTAAATGATTAATATAAAATTTCTATTTTAATAGATATGGAATTCATTTTCAGATAAGTTACTACAAATGAATGTATAAACGGTTTTGACTTAGACGTCTTTCTCTAAATTTTTCTTCTTTTATCTAAAAAAGCGGTTTTTTAAATCAACCTATGAAAATAAATTTTTTATGGAATGTTTGAATAAGAAGAAAAGAATATCTAAAGCAAATATATATATTCGGAGCAAGTTTATTGAAGGTTAGGTTAGGTTGGAGGTTAGTCTGTAAAAAAAGGGTTTCAAAAATTTTGAATCTTCTTCTAGCCAACGACAGACACTGACACTTGAGTTGAAGTATAGTTTCCTCCTCATCCGTATAGCCGGCATACGAAATAAAATAACATCAGTAAAGTTTTCTATTTAAATTTAATATATTTATAAAACTGTGAAAGAGATAAACGATTACAGAAAACAGAAGCACCTAAACCTTATCATATCTTTTATGATTAAGCATAAATTATATAATACCAAATAAACTTCCTGGTACTCATACTTCTTCTATGAATACCTGGAAAACTTTTATCAAACAGTTACGATGTAATCCATATCTTTCAACCAAGTATTTATTTTCTGCTCCTAAGTAAAAAGAGCCCATATGTAGAATGGGGAAGAAGTAATCAACGATATTACTTTAGTAGAAAAGTGTAATGGTGATCAAGTATACAAAGGGCCATTGGAGCTCAAATGGGCTTTAGGTACACCGCCACTCCAACCCAATCGTATCTTACTTAACCCCTTGTTTCAATTAGACCATATTAGTTAAATACTTTTACAGATTAAAGAAAAGTAAGCGAAAACTATTTTTGATTGAATGTAATAAGGTCCATATATATTATATAGTAAACACATACTATATAAATGACATTATATTTATTTATTTAAAATACATTTTTATCGACATTTCACAGTTTATTGTAGTTCATAACAGATACTTAAGTATACATTTAGTTAATATAGGTATCCTATATTCCTTAATTTGTTAATATAATTCCCTGCATCTTATGTTGACCCAAATTCCAACACTATGCGAGATGCGATATATTAAAAATATTTGCCCTCACCAAACTTTAACAAAATTTTTAACTAAAATTCCTTAACCAAAATCAATTTTAATGTGCATGTACGCGTATCCTTGCGAAAAATCGGATATATGTGTTTTTATGTCTGCGACACAAAACTGTCGCTTGCAGTTCCAAATAATTCCATTGATGGGCGATTTTTCTTTGTGTCTGCGAAATTTTTTGTTTTTGATAACAGAATTTGTTATTTTCTCTTTATTGTTTTGCCGGTATTTTCAAGTTGCGGTACAAAAAACTAGATGGGGGTGGCATAAATATGCCCAGCAGCTGTAACACAAAAGACGAAGGACGCAGCTTCAACCTTGTACTATGCGTACTGCAATTTGTTATGTCCATCACAGAACATAAAATGCCATTTGCGGCGTTTTTGTGTTTTCCAAGTATGAAAAGAGACAGCACGAGTGTATATAGCATGTGTATGCTATATGTGTATACGTTGGAGCACTTTCATTGAATCATTTTTATTTGTTTTCTGCCACATCATACATCCTTTTTATACAGTTTTTCGAAAGGACTACAAATGCTTCAGCATAAGCAAAGCATAAGAAAACGCACCACCACCAATGCTGCAAATATTCTATGAAATGTGTTTAAGTGAAGACTTTACCGCTACTGCTGCTGCTGCTGTTGCCATTTCTGTTGTTGTTGTTGATTTTTTATAGCTACGTTTATTTTCAGCATTAACTGAGTATTTCACCACTACTAACGCGTCATGACAATCGGTGACGCTATATCTGTCAGTGAAAATGTTCACCTGCTTTTTTACACTTGAATTATGTGCTCGCTCGTCTATGCATGTGGGCAATGGCTATATGTGCGTCTATGTATATGTGTGTATGTGTCTTGTGCAACACACAAGCAATTCATCATAGAAAATGGCGCTGGAATGTGCTGGATTATAAACAAAAAAGACGATAGCGATGCAGATAAATTTTAATAAAAGCAATTGGCATAAAATTTAAGAAAAAAAATATTTAAAATTTAAAATTAAACAACTCAAAATAAAATCAAGTAAAATAAAATAAATATAATTTATTTTCTTAAAATTATATGCAACCAAACGAACCCGACCAAAACCACCCACAAAATTCTTTGAACAAAACGCGCCCTCTTTGCAATGATTCTCGTTTACTTCTTTCTGTCTTTTTTTTGGTTTGCAGAATTTTGTTGTTGTTTGGCTTGGAAACACATCACTCAGTGTGCTGTTTATGCTCACTAAAATTTTATTAAGATTTACGAGCGCCAACGTACAAGGATACGCAACTCTCTCTCTATATTTTCTATACCCACTTTGGGTTTTCTTTGGGTTCATTTTTATGAGGCGTTAGAATGAAATGGTCGTATTAACTGCTGCGGCTGTTTAGGGGAAAGTAAGTCTTCGCCTGCATAGTACATTAAGACAGAGAAAACTATTTTTTGTATTGTTTAAGCTCTTTATATGCTATGAGAAAGGCAGAGTTTAGTGTTTGTTTTTATGAGTTGCTAATTGCCTTTGCTTCACAACAAACATAAAAATCCTAAAAATATTATTGATAAGACTATAAATTTGTTAACAAACCAAATATTGTGGATTTACAAATCTTAGATTTATGATAGAATAAGATATAAGCACATTTCATTTTATAAAATGTTTCCAAAATTAAAAATTCCATGAGTTGATTTATAGTTTAATATTAATGTTCATTAATGTATAATCAGAAATAAAATAGAGGCTGCAATTTTAAGAAAATATAATTAAAATATTAATTAAATAATTTTTAGCAATAGTTGTTGACATTGTCATAAATTTCTGTATAAATTATTCGCAAAATCTAATTTGTAAATACTCTTCTGAACGCATTTCTAATCATCATTATTTAAGTTGCCAATATAAGGTATTAACAAACATGAAATCAAATAAATTTTAATAATTGACCACTTATCATCAGTATATATTAAGCATAATTGCGAAGCAAATGTCGTATAACGGGTAAAAAAGCCTACATATCCTTTCCCTCATATTATATGAAGGCTTAGGAAAGCAGGCTTTCATTTAAAAACGATTTCAACGATGTACACTTTGACTAAACACCTATTAATTTGCTATGGTTAGCTGCCTGCGTTCGCAATATCATATCAAAAAAAAATTGATGCAGAACACAGTATCCCCTAGCATGTGTTAAAATCCTTCTCATAAAGCTGTATTAAAAGTAATTCCTCAATATTTACGCTCAGAACGTTA